AGGAGCGGAGGCGCAGCCGGGCGGCCCTGCCCGGGCCCCTCCGGGCCCCCCCGGTGCGGTGAAAGGAGGGTAGCTAGGAAACAGAGAGCGGCCCGAAAAGGCGGAATTTCCAACGTGTAAAATGTTCTTAACGGAGCCATTGAGAGAGTGCAATAAGGCGTGAGGGGGAACTAATCTCCCCATTTAAATGTTTGTGGCAATTTTATCTAAATGAATTTTAATGCTAAACGAGGGATAATTCCCTATTTGTAACCCGTTTACTTCTCTTTCCTGTGCCTCTGAAGCTGTCTAACATCATGCGATGAACAATAACAATAAAAATACTGTCAAGGCATATTCTTCATTTTGAATGTGTTATAATTACAGCTGATTAAATGTCTTGGGATGTAATCGTGGGTTTAATTTGAAATGTGCCCCCCTCCAAAAAAAAAAACCAACAAAAAAAAAAGTCCCATGGAGGAAGGTCTGTGCCCCACTTCGCTGTGGCTGCGAGGAGAGGGGACGCGTGTGCCCTCGCCTGTGAGAGGGCGGTTTGTTTTTGTCTTTCAAGAAACCTTAAAAAACCCCCAAAAACCCAAACACATAAAAACAAAACAAACAAAACGAAACAAAACAAAACCTAAAAAAAAAAAAAAAAAAAAAAAAAAAAAAAAAAAAAAAAAAAAAAAAAAGAAAAAAGAAAAAAAAAAAGCAAGCGAGCCCCGTTCATTCACGTTTTGGCAGGAAAGTGTCATTACTCCGGCCTCACAAAGAAGGAGCCGGGATGTTCAGCCTCCTTGGCGGTACAGCGGCACTTTAAAAAAACGGGGGGAAAGGAGAAGAGAAAAAAAAAAGGGGGAAAAAAAAAAGAGAAAGAAAGCTCAGAGTTAAAAAAATAAAAAAAGGAAAAAAAAAAAAAAAAGAGGGGAGGAAGTCCCAGCCGTGGGGGAACAGAACCCCCTTTGGTGGTTTGCTTCATTCATTCAGGTCTGCAGTGATGCCTGCAGCCCTGCCCGGCCCGGGGGACACGCAGGGACACCTCCCGCAGGGGATGCTGGCTGGCCTGGGAGAGGCTGGGGACGGAGGGGTTGTTGCATGATTTCGCCTTAATTAAGATATTTGTGTCATTTTCCCAGCTCCGGGAATCTCTGTTTTTCCTTCTATAGCTGAGATGTGACTTAAAGCAAAGGAGGTGTCGCCTGCCTCGCTGGCTGTGCTGCAGGAAGCACAAATGTGCGAGGAAATTGGTTAATGAGGGTCTGCACCGGCCCTGCTCGCACAGCTCCAGCAGCACCTCATCCCCTTACAGATAGGCATTGCCCTGCCAAGTTTTATTTTCCTCCTTCCTTAGCATGCCCAATGCCAGTAAGAAACTCAATTATCTGAACTGTGTATCAGACTATAATTTGGGAGGGAGAGGGGATAATACTATTTACAAATTTCTGTCCAGTAATTCCCTATGATATGACCTTTATTAACAGGCAACAGTTCCCATCCTGACAGTTTAAAGTGCAAGTTCCAAGAAAGTTTCTTTATGCAGTGTAGCGTTACTTTTACATTCTTTAAATATGAAGCTGATATTTAAACAGCAAATGGTAGGTAACATCTCCAGAGCCAGCGGGATTTTGTAGCTGCTCGGCTCTCAGTCTGGAACAGAATGGCTACAAAAACTGCATGGGGACAGGAAACAAATTTTGCAAGCAGTGGAGTCACCATGACAAAAAATAATTTGTTTTTATTTTAGATTCAGATTTCATTACTGCACTCAAACTACTACAACTGGGCTTTGAGTTATTATACAATCCAAACTGTTTCAATCAGAAACTCTAAGACTCAGTGTGCAATGATTATTATTAATAATAATTAGCTCCTTGGTTTCTTGATAGAAAAAGGCTATCAACAAGCATTTGTTTAACCACAACAAAAGTATAATTAGCTTATCCCACTTAGTAAATCTGTATGCATGCCAACTCATACCAAACTGCTACTTTTACAAAAAATTGCAATAATACAGATCATTTTTCCAGTCCTTTTTGCACAAAATTTATTTACAATGTATACATAAATGCTCCATGATGGGACTATGGAAAAAAAAAAAAAAAATGCACACATGACCGATGTCTTGCCCAGAAAGAAAGTCAACATATTAAAAATAAATCTTCAGTCCATGTTTTGAGCTGCATAAAACAGGAAGTGATGTACAAGGTGGTGGTTGCTGCATGGGGACAAGGATGCTCTGATGTGACAATTAGGCTTCGAATACACTGCCTTTCCGTTTCCATGCTTCCTCCTACCAGTCTCCTTAAGACACTGCCTGCAACAGCTGATTAATCATTGTTGATGACTTCAGTTTTTCCCATCCTTCCCGATTTACATCTGTTCAGGCCAATTCAAATATGGTGAGTAAATGAATTAGACATGCAAATTCACGCCCCAGGCTAGAAAGAGAGAGAGGGAGAGAGACGGGGAGAAAGGGAGAGAAAGGGAAGAAAGACAGACAGAGGAGGAGAGAGGGGGGAGAGGGAGAGAGAGAGAGAGAGAGAGAGAGAGAGAGAGAGAGAGAGTGCGCATGGCTGAAATCCTAGGATAGAAGAAAGATTCTTCTGCCTGACATAGTTATTTTAATGCTCTAAAAATCCTGCAAATAAGCCCTTTCTGTCATTTGCAGGATAAGTGTAAGGCTTCTTTTTCAATGTAAGGAGGCTTCTGGAGGAAGTGAAGAGCTATGGAAACAACACACATAGTGTGGAAAAATTTCACATTTTTTTTAAAAAATCTATAAGAAACAACGTAATATGGATAACAGTATAATAGCATTTTACAATATTTCACTCTTTGTTTTCTTAATGTCTTATATAGGTATTTAGCATGTCCCCAGAAGTTGACTTCAGTTGGTGTTTTCCTGCTTTTCAGGGTCCCTGTGAAGAACTGGAACGTCCCTTGGTCCAAAGTTGACGCCAAGAACTCCATAGTCATTGCAGAAAGACAATGTTTGAAATCTACCATCGCTGCAGACGACGTGTATTTCCCTTAAGCTACTGAGCATGAATGTCCATCACTTGTCCGCTCACTGCTGGCTCGCCGGTATGAAGCATTGTGGGGCTTGATGCTGACATGGGCATTCCAGGGTGGGGTGGTCCTCCATGCATCATCATCGCTGGGTGGTGAGGGTGTCCAGGAATGTAGGTATGCATGGGGGGGCCATGACGCAGCTGAGCAGGATGGGGGGGCATCTGGGGCGGCGTATAGCTTGGCTGTCCCATATTCATACCCATTGGACTACCCCGAGACACATAATCCCCTGGCATACTTTGCAGCCCTGCAAAGGGAGAGAGAGAGGTGGCGGTGAGTGGTGGGCGTCGGGCCGCCGAGCTGCTCCGCTGGGCCGCGGGGAGGCCAGGCTCCGGCCCCAGGCGGGATGCGGAGTCGCGGGCGCCTCCGTGGAACTGGGAGTCTGCACAGTGAGGGCAACAGGAATGGCCCCCGGGTCAAACAAAACCCAAAACCCCCTCCAAGAACATCCTCCCCCTTCCAAACACAGAGTTTTTGGAGATAAAACGGCTTTCTGCTTTTGTGGTTAGGGATGTATGCAATGGACGTGGTGCTGATCTGGAAGCACGCCAGGGGCAGAGCCAGCCTGAAGACGGCTAACACACGGAGGGCTCTCAGGTGGGCTCCCTTCCCCATGGCCTGACTCCAGCCACCTGCCTTCGCCTCCCCACTTGTAAAAACCACGCTGGGAATACAAGGCAGAGAGTCTGTAGCAGCTAACGAGGGGCTTGGGAGGAGCGATGGGTTAAATAGGTGTCAAGGTTTATCAACAGCTATTTATTTAGCTCTTGAGCCTGATCTCTTGGAATCTGTCCCAAATATTTGTGCCATTCAAAGAGATGCCATCCAGCAAGGACGTACATCGCTGAACAAAGGCCTCATACGAAGCTGAAATTGATAGGATTACTAAGTATGATTGCTAAATCAAACTCATATTTTTAGACACATTAAAAATATATACATAATCGATAACAGTTATCAATTATTTCTTCACCCCCCCCCCGATCACCTCTGGCTGCAAAAAAAAAAAAAAATCAGACGCGCAACTCAGTCAAACCTTTCAGTGGGTTTGGGAGAACAATAAGAAAAAAATTGGACCTAAAACAATAAAACCTCCTGCTTTCTGTGGGCCTCTGCCTTCTGCTTGGATTGCTGTAGCTGATGGGAACTGACAGATGTATTGTTTCGGAGAGCTATAAGCTCCATAATCATCAAGGGTGAAAGGCATACGCTATTGCTAAGTAGGTTCAATTGGCTTTAGTTCTAAGTAAGAGCGCGCTGTGAATGCGCCGAACACCTTGGAATCAGGTCTCAAGGCTCTAGCAATGAATAGCTGCTTAATCTAGCCTAAAGGAACAGTTTTGAACTAATGAAAATTGCTTATAAAATATACTGTACTCACAGCTCTTTAATCAAAAAAGATGATAATATTTTTTGTAATAACCTATTAATTTAATTGGTCACGAAGCATAAAATACATCATTTAAATTTAATTGACCCAGAAACTAAGAAACAATATTTAAATTAACTAAGCTAGAAATTTTCATGATGAGGTAATAAGGCTATTGCATTCCCAAGCTCAGAGGAATGTTTTCACAGCTAATTGTTAAAACTTAGTTTTGACTTGGGCTCAGAGAAGACTACTACGAAATACGCTTGCCCTGGGTAACTTCAAACCCTATGTTAATATAGGCTGGGGGCACAACAAAGATGCTGAAATAACTCTTTTAACTCCAGAAAGAGAGCAAGAGAAACAGAATCAGGAACCATTTAAAGATGGTACCAAGTATCTTGGTGTTTTAAACCACTTTACTATTTAAAAAAAACCAAAAACCAAAAATTTGTATAATGTATTTTCCCCTAGAAAAAGACAAGAGGGGGGGAAAAAAAAAAAAAAAAACTGGGACAGTTTTTCTAGGCTTTCTTTGCGAGGCCTGCCACTGAAGATTGCATTAATGATCTCTATTTTTGTATACTGAATAAGTCAAATCCATTTGTCACACTGCAAGTGATGGCATACTTAATTTGGATATAGTCAATTAGCCTGGGCTAAGCTCCATAGCCTGCTGCGCACACCTCTATTTTGTATTCTCTCTTTTTCCTTTGCCACACGTAATCCCATTATGACGGACAGACAAAGAGAAATAAACTTGAAAAAAAAAAAAAAAAAAAAATCAAAGTTTCGTCCATTGCTCTCCAAAATGCAACTAAGTGAAGCTGCTGGGTTTTGCTTGGGTTTTTTTTTTTTTTTTTTTTTCCTTTCTACCCCATGAGAAGTCTCTGTTTGGCTTTTTTGGTGTCTTGCAGGTTAGCGGGAGAAATGTAACTCATGCATCAACTGCGGTTAGACAGATTTATGACACTTTGGGGACATGCTCTTTCCTCTCCCTGCGCTGCTGCAGACCGCTTACATTTTGCAAATCAGTCTGTTGCCAAGACGACGGGCTCCCCCACCTCCCTGGCTGCTCCTTGTTTTGTCATGTGCTCGGGGATGGATAATAGCATCAATGTATGGCGGCGTCGATGTACAGCAGCGTCAATGTACGGCGCGCGCGCGCACGGGGGGTTTGGGAGCTTGGAAAGCTTGAGCTGAACCGCAGGGAGAGAAAACCCAAAGGAGCCCAGGCGTAGGATGGATGGATGGAAAGGAAGGAACAAGCATGAGGCTATGGGCAGGGAGAACATAGGGAAATGCAAGAAGACAAATATCCCTCGGACAAAGTGAGAACAAAGACCTCGTTTGTACTTACTTCCCCCTGGCTTTGCCATTGGTTACCTAGGTGAAGGTTACATGTAGTGCCACTGCCCCTCCATGCCCATATTCATGCCCATTCCACTCATAGGTCCTAGAGGGAGATAAAAATCCAAGAAGATGCCAGAAAATGAGCAAAGTCAACAGATAGTGCCAAAAGCCCCTTTCCAAACACAGCACGGCAGAGGGGGTCCGGGAGCGCTCGAGGGAGGAGACGCCCGGTTTCCCTCGGTGGTGTGGAAGGCAGGCAGAAGACAGGTGAGGCAAGGCAAGGCAGCTGGGACGGCGGCAGAGGGCTGAGGTGTGTTTTACCTGACCGTGGGCGGGCGATGCTGTCCCGGGGGCTTACCTGGCGCTCGGATGCCCATGTGCTGCTGGCCGTCCATCACGAAACCTCCCATCGGCTGCCCGTCGGGGTTATAGGGTGTTCCTTGACTTACTGGAAAGGTGCAGAACATTGCTTTTTAGCGACAGCCAGCACGGCCACCTCTTCTCACGGCATCAAAACACAATCCCCCCCACCCACGGAATATCCATGCCGGCTCTAAAAAGAGGGGAAAACATCTACTGCGCGAATTTAGCGGTTGGACTATCAAGCGTGCTTAGTTTTGGCTTAATTTTCTTCTGCAAGTTTGGAAATGAAGTTAGCAAACTGAAATCTTGAGACGTGAGGAGCCTCGGCTCCAGCTGCTGCCGCTGCTGACGTCAATGCAAAAACCTGTATAGGAGCCGGATTTTATGGCTGGAATAGTCACACTGAAATCTCAGTGTGTTAAATTACACCCTTGTGCCTTCAAAGGGCAGGACCTGAACACATCCATGCCAGATATTTATGTCTAATGACAAATAATCAAATGTACTTGAAGAGGAAGCGTGGCCCAAAGGCATCTTGGACAAGGACGGATTTGGAGAGTTTGGCAGTGAGACTTGGAAAACAAAACCAACTGGGAGTAACGGGCTGTGGTAATCCTTGATGGTAAATACCCGCAGAGAGCTGTGAGCCAAGGTCCCAGATAGAACCAACATGTGGAAACTTAAGATCTTTTAAAAAAAATATAAACAAATACCCCCAAAGTAAACAGCAAATGCTCAGCAATCCCAAAAGAAGAGCCAAGGGGCAAAAGGACCCTATACAAGTGCCACTACCTCAACTGGAGGTTTTCACTGTACATTAAAAGCCAGCTTCAGAAGTAAGCTGGCTTGGGTTATTAAAGCACATAAAGCTCTACCTCATTGAATGTCTTTGAACTTTACTGAGTCCCACAAGTGATTCTGACCCCTTTGCCCTTTTGACAGGTAATAAAGTTTACAGCAATTCCACACCAAGCCATGCACCAGGGAGTGGTCACAAGAGCAGAAAGAGCTGGGAAGGAAAACTCCAAAACAACTACTAAAAAAATACAAGAATAATTGGGATCGTGTACAGAAAGTCCGGTCATGGAACGGAACATTTCAGTTTCCCTTTTTGAATTTTCAATGTCTTTTTTTTTTTCCAAAATTATTAGAGTCGTAATGAAAGAAAGCTGGTTGTATTTTAATTGTCTGACACTCCCAGCATTAATTTCTCATTTATTTACCAGGTATTGGACCTCCTGGTGAATGGCTGGAGGATGGTTTTCACCTGTGTGACTTGAATACAGTTACTATTGGGGACTTGCCTGCTCGATTGGACTGGTCTATCATGGGCTGAACTATTCTTCTTCTAGCATTAATAAACCTGCAAGAAAAAAGAGGAAAGCAAATGGTTAGGGAAGGGATGTCTTCCACCCATCCCCAAGCCCTCTCGCCCTACTGTGGTGCTCTCCATCAGGCTGCATGGGGATGCAAATACTGCTAAACCTCTAACCCTGATGACCTTTGAGAGCACAACCTTGGGGTTTCCAAGCTGATTTATGTTTGCCTGCTTTTTACCACAGTTGGACACTTCCATTTCATCTTTTCATGGGGGAATTAGCCGAGTTTTCAGGAAACAATGCCAGCAACGCTCTTCTCAATACAGAATGGGGCACCAAAAAAACAAAAATCTGTGAAGCCGGCGAGATGCTCGTGAGGGCATCTGCTACCTCCCCCCTCATTAGTGTCATTTCTTCCTTATGTCCTTTGACTCCTTTTTCCAATTTTTTTTTCTTTATCAAAACCTGTCCCTACCTCTTGCAAACCTAATTCCCTTTTAATGCCCACTATTAAGATAATGAACTGTGATGGCAGAACCCCATCAAATGAGGGAACGTCTGGACTTTTATCACCACTAAGTCACACTGCTGGGGACTTCAGAGCCATGCATTCCTCCTAGCCATTTCTTGGTGGGCTTTTTCCCCCCCTCCCTCTCTTTATGCAAAGTCTGAGGGGGTCAAGGCGAGGTCATAGCTTTACAGTAATTGAATTTATAATCCTGTTTTCTCCAGCTAGGCCTGACCATTTACAGCAAACATCTTGTTAAACTGTAATTACTGGACTACTGAAAATTCCCCCTTCAAACAATGAAAAGAAGATCTCCAGAAATAACGAAAAAAAAAGGAGGTACAGTAATTTTTAAAAATAGCTATCTACAACCCCACTCTTTGTGTTTTTGTAGCTCTTTGCCTCAGTTACTCCTGCAGTGCTTATTTGGAAGTATCCAAAATAATTTGGAGCAAAACAGAAGAAGAAGAAGATAGATCACCAGTACCCTGGTTTCCTTATGGTTAAAATCAGGAGGCTGGGAACCATGGCTGGGAACCTGTCTGAATAAAAACCATTTGAAGAATCTCTCTGGAGGTTTCACTCAGCAGAAAGTTTACTTAAAATCCATTTGGGAAAAACCTCCATTGAGACTTAGTTAATGCAAAGCTGCATAACCAGACTTTGCGCTCTCTGTGAGAGAGAAAAAGAATAATAAAAATACGTATGCCACAATATTTACTAGTAAAGGAAGAAGGGTGAGCGTGTCCTAAGTCACAGGACACTTGTAAAGTGGGATAGGAAAGTCCACAAAGGAATACTTGATGCTTGTTTTCAGTGCCTTTGCTTGGGGTGGCTTAGCAGGAGCTCTCCTACCACAGAGATAAAGCCACCAGGATCTTTCCATGGGAATCAGCTCTGCCCACCCATTTGCCTACACCAGAGGGGAGAAGAATAGCAAACCACTGCCCCATGCTGTGTCTTTTGCCCTCATCAAAGGCCAGCACAGTGACTTCAGACTCCTCCTATGTCCTATTTCCCACTGACACCCATTACCCAAACTCCTGCAAAAATTAATCAAGATGTTGAGCCTTTATCAAATCTGTCTTGAGGAAACGGGCTGAAAGGCACCAAACCCGGGTTCCAGTCTGGAAACCTCACACCTGATCTAGGTCATGTTTTGTCAGCAACAGTATTGGATCAATTTTTCTACACATTTCCAATAAACACCCCTCTCAACTCCAGCAAACAGTGTTGCAAATCAGTTTATCATTATCTTGTACAAACCATGAAAATTAGAATCATGTGAGCAGAAGGTTAGACTAATTCTCCTTTCTCATTATAAGCACAGGTGTAGCACAAACACCATGTGAAATAAGCAATTAAAAAAAACCTGCTTTTTTTCCCCCATTAACTGCCTTAGCTCCATGACCAATTAGAAAATTGTTTAATATCTGTAATCTGCATTTGCAGAAAGCAATTTTCACAGTAACTCTTCAAGTAAAACAACACCACAAAACCCTAGTGCCTCAGCCATTTCTTTTTTGAGAGTCTGGCAAGGCTCTTGCTGTGTTTACTCCATCCTTCTCCTGCCCCACTGCTAGGACCTGGTAGTGTGGCAGGAGGAGAGGGGCAGCTGTGAGAGCGACTGGTCACTGAAATAACTTTTACCCCAAATAAATGCTGAGCAACATTAAGTACAACCTCAACTTCACGACTTTTTCCTCCTTCTCCTCCAAACCACAAGCACTTTTTTGATGAAGGGGGAGTGCCTCAAAATAATAGAACTGTACTATATATAGTATTGTTTATATACTAATACACTGGAATAAACTATCTATCTAGAGTTTACCAATAACTCCCCACAAGATGTGCCTATGGTAAAACATAATCTCACCTGTTTGCCCCACGCTATCGTTTGGGATATCTGCCTTAAGAACATTTTACACACAGGTACTTAACAGTTATCTTCTTCCTACGCAGTCCTGTAAGGATTTTCTATAAGTAGCAATTCTGCCAAACAGCTCAGTGTTTGGATGTCTTTGGGGGGAATTCAGACACAAGAACGTTTTCCTTCTGGGCAAAGTAATAAAATGACATTCTCGCTCCTCCCACTAGAAGTCAAACGGAGGTCAGCTCCCCATCCTTGTATCTGTTTAAATAAACTGGTCCAGCTGTTTGTTTCCAGGATGCCCTTTAACCTTCTGTCCCATCCTCCCTGCCTTTGTAACACAACGCTTTACTTTGCATTATAGTAGACTCCAAATCACTACGCATTTAAAAAAAAAAAAAAAAAGGAGGGAAAAAAATAAAAGAAGAAGAAAGTATTCACTTTCAAGTTTCTTCCTGAATCCCAAACCTAGATTTCTTAAGAACCTATCAGATTAAAACAATTAACACAGCTTGCCTTGAGAGAGCACAATGCAGGCTGTGATGTTTATAAATCACATCTGAGAACTCTTTGCAAGCAAAACTGCGAATTAGCTGTTGCTGCAGAAATATACGGGAATGTGGTTAATTTCTTCATGCACTCAGTTTTTTTCTTTGAGAGAAGGGCCAGGATCTTTTGATCACTCTTTGAATTTCCAAAGTGCCAGTCTGATTTGAACATCAGCAAAATCCATGGAATAGAAAAGCTAACGGGAATAATCTCCCTTCCCCTTTTCACAAATGCTCATATTCACCTTTCTTAAGAGAAAGAAACTCTAAATCACTCTGATTTTTAGAAATTCAGAGAAATCAGGACCTAAAAAAGATATTTGCATACTAACTACTACTGAAATGGAGCATTATCAAACTAAAATTTACCATAAAACTTAAGACAGATGTATAGCCTTACTCATGTGAGTAAAGACCCAATCAAGCTCAAAGGCTTGCATGAAGTATTTTTCCCCACACCAGTGCTCTGTGTTGTGGTGTCTTTGCCCTGATGAGAAAGGGTGGGTTTTTTTTTTTTTGGTTTGAGATTTTTGCCTCAAAAGAATTGGATCAATAGTGGCACAACAACATAATATCCCTCAGTTACAAGATGCACTCAGCAAAGTGATGCCTTGGGCTGCCTTTTTTTTTTTTTTTTTTTTGGTTTTGTTTGTTCTGTTTTTTGCTTTTGTTTTGTAAGGGGAAAGATCTGGCATGGAGAAAACATTTGAACAGTTGAGCAAACACAGAAGTTTGAAGTATTTCCTAATTTTTTTCAAGTTAATTTTTTCTTGTTCTTTTCACACACATGGGATTGTCCCTTCTGCCATGTCCCAAAAAAGCAAGAAAACCCCAGCAATTCCACCTGCATAACCCTAAGGAGGAGGAGGAGGAGGAAACTCTCTTTTCTCCCATTTGCATTTTACTAGGATGTTTTCTCTTAGGCTTCTCGCCTGGGGTCTGCCTGCAGAGGTCACGGGCAGACTCCCTGGTTGGTGCATCGCTGGTCCCACGGGTGAGCTCCAGCCGCAGCCCCGGGGATGCAGCAATCTGCCTCTGCACTCTGACCTTCAGCTTGGCCGCCCTCGCTGCCACGCACAAGTTTTGTTTCTTCTCAGCGAGAGGCTGCATGGCTGGTGATGACAAAAGACTTATTTTAGTTGGAAATTGGCTACAATAATAGCAGCCAGAGAGCAAGGATTTTCAGAGGGTCACCAAACCCTCCGAAAGGCACAGCTCGCTGAGGCTCAGGTTACAGCCCAAGTGACATTTTCTGCACAGATCTGTTCTTTCTCCCTTCCCCTTGTATTTCACTTCTGTTGAGTGAATAAAACAAGACCTTCCTCTGCTGTCACAAATTTCCAAAGTCACCTTTGCTCAAGAATCGACAGAGCGATTGTGGGGACTTCCAATTTGCAGTCTTTGAATGAAATTTTCCAGGACCAGCTGTCTGAAAGGAGATGCTGAGACTTGGCGCTCTATTGAATTTTTCTCTGCCCCCAGCCCTCTGAAATGAGGAGAGTTTCACACCATTACTGACTTCTGCTACTTGAAGTCACAGGCTGCTCCCTCTCAATATTGTCCCAAAGCGCTGCACGCCACAAGTCTGTGTTTGACTAGCAGAGCCAAGAAATTCCCGAAAATCTCTCTGCCTCATTTTCTCCTTGAGCTCCTTCTAGCAAACCAGGCGTAAGAGGAATGAGAAAGCCCACATTACCTACAAACCCCAGTGCTAAAACCTCTCATGCCCCTCTGAAGGAAAGCAGTATCCCTCTTGACAACAAACAAATCATCATTTTTCTAACAGATGCCAAAGTAAACGTAGCACTTCAAACTGGCAAATAATTCACTTGTAAAACCAGTTGCACTCTTTTCTGCATAGTGGGATCCTTCATTTATACAGCAGCAAAACAACATTCTCTATTCAGCACTTAATTCCTCAACGCTTAACAGGTTTATCTCTAATAAAACCAATTTAAATGGAAAGTGTGCTATAAACCATGATTATTACACTTCAGTAACTGCTTTATTCCTTATTTTAACATATTTTCATTTTTTTTTTCTCTGTGTTTGTTTTCCAAAGATTTTTAAAAGAGTCACTTAAAGAAAAGAAAAAAAACATACCAACACAGAAATTAT